TGATTAGCTCTAGTAGTTTTCTGGTAGCATCTTTAGGATTCTCTATGTATAGTATCATGTCATCTGCAAATAGTGACAGCTTTACTTCTTCTTTTCCGATTTGTATTCCTTTTATTTCTTTTTCTTCTCTGATTGCTATGGGTAAAACTTCCAAAACTATGTTGAATAATAGCGGTGAGAGTGGGCAACCTTGTCTTGTTCCTGATCTTAGTGGAAATGGTTTCAGTTTTTCACCATTGAGAATGATATTGGCTGTGGGTTTGTCATATATGGCCTTTATTATGTTGAGGAGAGTTCCCTCTATGCCTACTTTCTGGAGGGTTTTTATCAGAAATGGGTGTTGAATTTTGTCGAAAGCTTGTTATGAGTAGTGCTAAGACTTGAATTGTCTCAAAATGATTTGTAAATGCACATGTGAATGAACAATGATGATGAAATAACTGTACTGTAAGAATGATTCCCGTGTGTGTGTATGTGTGTGTGTGTGTGTGTGTGTGTGTGCTTGGTGCCAGTTAAATTAGAAAGGGACATTGGATGACTGACTAGTGATGCCATTTGGCACAATGGGATAAGGGACAGCAAAGTGGGAGGGGGTCTTGTTTCTAATCATAGGACTTTCTCTGAATCCTAATAATCTTGGATAAATCACAGTGCACCTCCTAATTTACAGAAGTTTCCCCATCTAAAAGTTGAGGGGTATATACTTTCTAATGACAACCTAGCTCCAAATTCTTGGGTTCTATGATTTTTTTAGGTCAAAAAAAATTGAGGATGGGTTAAAAAATCACCACCTTACATCTTGTAACCCAGGAAATACCAAAGGAAAATTTCAAATCCTTGGTGCTTCTCTTTATTAGGGTCTTGGGCATGGTGATGGTGGTGGTGGTGATGGTATCTCATAATTACTGTGCTGTTTTTCCTAGTAAGCATGCCCCTCTTCTCTGCCCCTTCTGTTCACCTATTGAATACCTCTGCCATACTGATTGATTACTGATGAGATGGTTGTGAGGGTACCATAGTTCTCAGATGTCTGCGGAAGGAAGAGTAAATGGTTGAAATCCACCTAGGTAATGCCTGGGGGAACAGAGGGGTCCCTTTTCAGACTGTTGGGACCTGAGAGGCAGAAGTGGCCAGCAGAGTTAGATTTTGTTGGAGAGATATAGGCTGAGAGTGTGGCATGTTTGTCATCGTAAATCAGTGTCTTCCTGTCTCAGTCCATTTGGGCTGCTCTTACAAAATACCACAGACTGGTGGCTTATAAACAGAGATTTATGTCTCACATTTCTGGGGCTTGGAGGTCCAAGATCAGGGTGTCAGCCTGGTTGGGTTCTGGTGAGGGTCCTCTCCTAGGTTGCAGATGGCCAACTTCTTGCTGCGTCCGCACATGGTGGAAGGGGCAAGGGAGCTCTCTGGAGCCTCTTTTATAAGGGCACTAATCCCATTTGTGAGGATTCCACCCTTATGACCAAATCACCTGCCAAAGGCCCTACCTCCTAATGCTGTCACCTTTGAGGGTTGGATTTCAACATACGAATTTTGGGGAGAAATCAACATTCAGACCATAACACTTCCCCCATGAAAAACACCTGAAAACGGGACCCAGAGAATGAGCTCTATACCTCCTTCTACCCTTAGCACAACGAGAGAGACTTTGAACTTTTCTGTCCAGTCACCCTGCCCATAGCTCCACAGAAAATCATGGACACTACCATCTTCTTTCCTCAGTGATGTGAAGGCCTTCCAGCTCTTCCTTAGTGTATGAGAGCTGCCTTTCTAGAAAGTTCTCAGAGACAGATACTGTAGTGTGGGCATTCATGCTTGTATACGTGTATGTGTGTGGGGCAGGGGTAGGAGGAGAGAAAGAGAGAGAGAGAGAGAGCCTTGCAATATCATCAAAGCTCTCAACCAATTCATTGATTAAAAATATGAATGGTTCCTTTTTTGGGAATATTTGTAGAAAAGTTTTTCTTAAAAGAGCCAGTGAGTTGGAAAGAGTGGGATGACTGGGTCCCAGAACCAAGACAAGATAAACAATGTTATCTTCTTTCCTAAAAATCCAGTGGTGCTGCCACCATCCCTACTGACAACAACCCCAATACCTGAACACACAGATGTAAATGTGCCCGCTTATGCCTGTAACCTGCCATTGCTGGAGGGCGGAAATGCTCTTTCCTTCTCCCTAAATGGAGGAGATGCTGAGAATTTCAACATGGCTGGAAATTTTAATATTTTCCGTAAACTGCCTAGAAGTAGCTACTGTTAACTGAGTGCTGATAATGGCTCAGACACCATTATTCTAAGTGTTTTCCTTGGCTTTAAACCTCACAACAACATCGGGGGTAGATATGACTGTTAGCTCCATTTTACAGTTGAAAAGATTGAAGCATACAGTGCTCAGCTTTCCCCCTGCCCGCCCAGGTTGTCTGGTGGCAGAGCTTTGGCCTTTGCACAAATGTTCTTTTTTTTTTTAACATCTTTATTGGAGTATAATTGCTTTACAATGGTGTGTTAGTTTCTGCTTTATAACAAAATGAATCCATTATACATATACATATGTTCCCATATCTCTTCCCTCTTGCATCTCCCTCCCTCCCACCCTCCCTATCCCACCCCTCTAGGTGGTCACAAAGCACCGAGCTGATCTCCCTGTGCTATGCGGCTGCTTCCCACTAGCTATCGATTTTACGTTTGGTAGTGTATATATGTCCATGCCATTCTCTCACTTCGTCCCACCTTACCCTTCCCCCTCCCCGTGTCCTCAAGTCCATTCTCTAGTAGGTCTGCGTCTTTATTCCCGTCTTGCCCCTAGGTTCTTCATGACCTTTTTTTTTTCTTAGATTCCGTATATGTGTGTTAGCATACGGTATTTGTTTTTCTCCTTCTGACTTACTTCACTCTGTATGACAGACTCTAGATCCATCCACCTCACTACAAATAACTCAATTTTGTTTCTTTTTATGGCTGAGTAATATTCCATTGTATATATGTGCCACATCTTCTTTATCCATTCATCTGTTGATGGACACAAATGTCCTTAACCACTAGGCAACACTGCCCCCCGTAGTGGAGGGGCAGGGACTGTTGGCAGCTTCCTGCAGCTGGAAGCCCACGATGAAGCCAGCCTGAGGGTAGGGAGCCGTGGCGCTCATAAAGGCAATGAGTGCAAGTGCGTCGGGGCCAGTAATTGCCTCTGGGGCCTCTTCTAAGCCCCTCATCTGAAAGATTTATCTGTGTGTACATGTAGATCTCTAACGTCTCTTAGAGCAGTTGTGCTGGTATCTGTTCCACATCACGTGAGAGCCTGGCAACTCTTCGAATGCCAGTCAGCCTCCAGTGGCGTTTACCTTGGCAGCTCGGCTCCGCTCCCCCGTGTCTGCGCTGAGTTCTCATTCCTTCCGCCGCAGGACGACCTTTCTGGTGGAAAACTTGCAGACTAGACAGAAGTAGACTCTGCTGCCACATTCCCTCCTCAAAGGCATCCTGAGCTCTGCGTAGAGGGCTGATTCGACTGTAAGGAAAGAGAGGGGACGCTTCTCCCAATGGCTTTGTGAGGGAAGCGCCACGTGCCACGCACTGCTTCTCTGGTGTTGTTTCGGAGGTTAAATTGGAGGCTCAGAAAGAGTGTGTTGAACAAGCCATTGTAGTGGTTGAGGAGGCAGTTTTCAGCGTGCAGGATGGCAGTGTTCCCGTGGCGGGGGACACATTGTGAGAGCACTGAGCGCGCAGGGGGCGCTACCTGGGACTCGTGAGCCCGCCCTAAAGGTGATTGGAATCCCTTCTTTTCCTCCAGCAGTGCATGCGTGCTACTGGTAGCAGCCTGCCCGGGATGGAGTTGTCCCTGTTGATTTGTGCTCCCCGTTGCGTCCACACCATAGGGATGTTTCTTGGTTCTCTCAGGGCTGTGCCCATGGCCTGTCGCGGCTGTCCCTTGTCACCTCTACTGGGACAGCGTGTTCACTTCTGACATCTGCCCGCCTTCCCAGAGAATGAAAGTCATTTACTTTTGTTTCTTGCTGGTGCCGGGGGAGTTTTGTTATTCTCCTGATGCCACAGTAATCACCTTGGACCAGTCCATTATAACAATAGCCTCAGCTTCTCCGAGACCCCTCCCCACTCATGCGTTCTTAGGGGCTGCTTCCCACTACATGCCAATTTCTCCCTGCCATCGTTGCTCACACCTGGGTGGACTTTCTCCGCCATCCATCCTTGGGTTGCTTTCCTGCTGCACCAGCTTCTCATCTACATGATGTTAAGGAGATGTTCGTTCATGGCTTGAGCTGGAGGCCAATCCCTTGTTTCTAAAAGTCACAACAGTGCAGTTCAAAGTCTCACGTGACTGCTACATTTCCCTCCCCCCACCCCCCCAGCTCTGCGGATCTCTGTTGTGTATTTCACGGTTCTTCCCCTTCGTTGTTGAAAGCTGATCGCTTCCTTTTCTCTGGCTTCCTCTTTCACGCTTGGGCAGCCAGAGCTGACTCTTTCAAACAGTCAGACAGACAACAAGTTCATGCTTCTAAACTTATTACACACTGAATCCATCCAGCGAGGCAGAGCGGTGTAAAGCTCAGACCATTGGTGAATTCAAAACCTGGATGTGTTTTAATTAAACAACATGGTGAATGTAGGTGATCTGTCAGGATAAAGGCTCGTGAAGAGTGGTTTTATATCATCTTGCTTAACTTAAACTCAGCTTCAGCATTAAAGACCCACTTCTGTTTGTCCATTTCACATCGATTAAGAGAGCTGATTAATGATTTAGATATACCTTAGTCCCCACCCCTTTATTCCTTAGCTTTCTCACCAGTCTCAAATGTGTGTTTCTGTTGACGTATTGAACGCCTCTTTGAACTCTGAGTTCCAAGGAACTCACAGTCTTAGCAGGAGATTGCTTCAGAAGCCAAAAATTGTTGGGTTTTTCCCCCTTATTCTCATAATTTTTATGTACTGTAATTTTTTTAGATCTATTAAAAATGAAACTGCTCTCTTTTTGTATTTTGTAGAAACTACCTCTTCAGATTACAGCTTGAGGATTTGTCTCTGATCCAGGTAGGTGCAATTTATTTTTCTCAAACTTTCATTTTTCATCTCAGTTAGCTCCGTGTTTGAGGGGATGAAGACAGATGTATGGGAAGGTATTAATCAAGCCACAGCAGGCCGTTCCTTCCTCAGCAGGTCAGGCCACGGGACGCCTGGCTGCCCTCTTTGACATGAGTCATCACCTGCCTTAATTCCCAATTAGCCCTCTTCCTACTGTGCGGCCTCTCCTCCTTTCATGGGTATCATCCTGATTTACTCTTCCCCAAATGATAGATAAGTCAAAGGGCATTTCCTCAATGTTAGGAAGTGGCCTTTTCCCCCTGGTTAGAATCATCATTGATTATTTAGTGTGATGCATCCAGCCACCATATTCTTGTAAAAATCAGCCCCCTTTAGAAAAACATCTTTGTTTCCTTTTTATTATTTATAATTAAATAAATATGACTCTATGGCTTAAAAACCACATATAGGGCTTCCCTGGTGGTGCAGTGGTTGGGAGTCTGCCTGCTGATGCAGGGGACACGGGTTCCTGCCCTGGTCCGGGAAGATCCCACATGCTGCAGAGTGGCTGGGCCCGTGAGCCATGGCCACTGAGCCTGCGTGTCCGGAGCCTGTGCTCCGCAACGGGAGAGGACACAAAAGGGACCGGTCAAAGAAAAAAAAAAAAAAAAAAAAAAAAAAAAACATATAACAAAGAATTAGTGATGATAGATAAAAATGAAATTTACCTACTTGTGTTTTTTTGCGGTTTGAAGGAGGAGGAACCTGAGATGCTTATGCCTGGATACAGTGTTTATTTTAGTGGCAGATCTGAACCACAAAGGCCCACTTCACCCTGTTAGGCTTTTAGAAGGGTCTCCTTGGAGAAGGACAGGGTCATGGCATAAATACCCACTTCGCCAAGATTCTGGAATTCCCCATGGAGCATGCCAGAATCCTTGGGCTGTGTGTAGTTTGGAAAAATTCCCATGGAGCATGCCAGAATCCTTGGGCTGTGTGTAGTTTGGAAAAATTCTTTAATCACCCTCATCTACTAGAGTTCTAAGAAGTGATTGGAGAGAAGTTTATATTATTTTCTTCTCTTATGTGATGCTGATATTTGGGAACATTCAGGAAACTTTAGATCTATGGTTTAATAGTAGATCTATGTTTTATTCAGCAGGGCTTTAAAATAAGCCAATACCCCCCAGAAAACTAATATTGGTAAAGCACTTTGAAAACCCATAGACCTGGATTTGTTATCTAGCTCTGTGACTCCCAGCAATTGTGGGTTTCCTCATCTGTGGAATGACCACAAAACACTACCAACCCCATACTATCTTTGCTAGAACTAAATAAAGTAAGGCATGCACAAGAGATAAGGCATAGTACTTTTGCAACAAATGTTAATCGCTTTTGTTTTTTAAAAGTGATAACAATAAATAATAACTTCTTATAATTATTTCATCACACTGGACAATGAATTGTCTTTCCACTGCAATTTGGTAATATAAGTGAAGTCTTTAAATGAGTTGATCATTGGTAAAATTATGAGTGTATTAATAAGAACTCAGAATGATCAGCAGTTAATGCAGAATACCATTTTAAAGCTCTGGTTTTAAATAATCTTTTATAAAATATATAGATCATTCGATAGGATTATGCTCATTTTGATTCTCAGGGTATAGTATATTATTTGGCATATTGTGTGTGCCGAAAAAGTGAAATGTGCAGATATGTGTGTGTGCCAATGTATGTTTCCATACACATGTGCATTGATTTCCTAGTTTCCCAGCTCCTATGGCTGAGAAGGTCTAGAATATTGTCATTTTAATAGCAATGAGCACACTTAATACCCAGTACTTGGTTTCTAAATTTCATTCTCCATTAAAACGAACCAAGCCTTGGGACTTCCCTGGTGGTCCAGTGGTTAGGACTTTGAGCTTCCACTGCAGGGGGTGTGGATCTCTGGTCGGGAACTAAGATCCCACATGCTGTGTGGCCAAAAATAAAAAAAAAAGAACCAAGCCTTCTTGGAGAAGCAGCTGATTCCAGGGCCTGGACAACCAAAGTTCCAGATAAGCCTGGAAGATTTTGATGTTTCAGAAATTAAGGGAGTACTCAAAGAATGATGAGAGCAGGTCAAAAGGATATAGCAGCCAGCTTGACGTGGGCTCACTGAAGAAATCTGGGACAATTTGATTGTTAGAATAAGTAATGATAGTATCAGGTTATAGCACAGCGAATCAACTATGAGTAAATACTATGAGTAAATACTAACATAAAAATAAATGAATAAACAAATGAGACAGAAGGGACTGCTCTTCCTTACTCTAAAATGCCAACTAATAAATGTTGAAGGAATGATTTCATTAGAAAATTATAATTTGACAACACTCACACTAAAAACTGATTCAAGCAAAAATGATCAATGGATGCAAAATTTGTGGGTGAGAGTTTGATGATGACCAAGATATCGATATAGTCTTAAAGTCTTTACCTATAAAATACGTATTAATCGCTGGAGGAAAACCTGTGACTTGATAATGAAGATAGCTGACCAGTACCATGATAAGCAGCTAGTTAAAGGTACTTTCGCTAGGAATGGGGCAAAGAGTTAGTATAAGCTTCCTGATTAGATGCACTGAAAAGGCCACAGCAAGATTTCCATGATATTAAAACCAAAAATTATAACCAGTTTCATCATGAGGAATCATCACACAGACCAAACCTGAAGGCCATTCTACAAAAAACTGGTCTCTACTCTTCAAAAATCACCAAGTCAAAAGAAAAAAGAGCTATTCCATCATAAAGGGGAAAAAAAGTACACATGTCAACTGAATGAAACATTTGATTCAAATTGCATCTTGGAACAGGAAAAAATTTTTTTCCTGTTATAAAGGACACTCTTGGGACAACTGGTGAAATTTTACTGTCTGCGGAGAAGATAGGAGAAATGTATTAATATTAATGTCCTGACTTTGGTAACTGTAATGTGGTTATGAAGGAGAATGTCTTTGTTCTTTAGACAAACCTTCTGAGATAAATAAGGGTGAAGAGTATCATTTCTGACACTTATTCTGAAGTGATTTAAAAACTTACTGTATGTCTATATACATATATATATATGTGTTTATGGGCATACACATGCACACACACACACATGCATGCATGCACACAGAAAGAATGATAGAACAAATACGATAAAATGTTAATGAGGGAACTCTAAGAATCTAGGTGAAGGGTTTTTGAGAGTCCATTGAACTTTGCTTGCAACTTTTCTCGCTGTTATTTCGAAATAAATAGCTGCAAAAAATCAGGAGATGCATATTTGCCATTGCTGTGTGTATAATGTTATTTTAGGGGCAAGGGAACTAACTGTAGTTTCCTCATTATTGCTTCTCATTGTCATGACTACCTTTTGGTGGAAATCAGGTTGAGGTTACTGATGAAATTGAAGTGTTTGGAAAACTCATCAGCCTCACCTCTGGGTAAGAGAGAGCACAGTCTGCTGACATAGGGCCAAGCAGGACGACAGGGGCTGTCCGAATGGAAGCTTTGACAACACGGCCCTAATAACAGACGTCAGACCACGCGGTGCGGTGGGTACACACAGCGCCACCCTCCTCTGTTGTGCTTCGTGGTTGTGTACGATGCTCTGCAGCCTACCTTTCACTCACTGTGGAGAGAGGACTCTGGGAATTCTTCAGGACAGACTGCTTTTTCATACATGTCTCCAGTTAAGTTGTCCTTTTGATTTCTACGAATACTTTATTTTAAGTTAAATGACCGTTTCTAAGGGTAACAAAAAAGACTAAGCACACTGATCAAGAAAGGGCTGTACTGGTGTTACAAACAGCACTGTCCAGTAAAGACAAAATGTGAGCCTCATGGGTAGTTTAAGATTATCTGATGGTCACATTGAAACAAGTACAAAGAAACAGGGGACAATTTTTTTATTGAGGTATATAGTTGATGTACAATATTATATAAGTTTCAGGTATACAGCATAGTGATTCACAATTTTTAAAGGTTATATTTCATTTATAGTTATTATAAAATATTGGCTATAGTCCCTGTGCTGCAATATATCCTTGTAGCTTATTTATTTTATACATAGTAGTTGGTACCTCTTAATCCCCTTGGGGGAAATTATTTTTAATAATATATTTTGCTTGTTATATCTCAAATAATATCATTTTAACATGCAATAATTACAAAAAATAATGAGATACATTTCTTTATTTTAATTGTATTAAGCCTTCAAACTCTGGGGTGTATTTCACTCTTAGAGCACATGTGAATTTGGACTAGCCACCATGCAAGAGCTCAGCGGAGCTGTTGCTACCTAGCTGGACAGTGCACTTTAAGATCATGAGAAGCAGAGGCGTTTATGACTTGTGTGCCTTCAGTTATGTTGTAGAAATATTGTTTTCTGCAGGGACCATCCGGATTAATTTGGATATAGTAGGCTAAAACTTTTCTCCTTCCTTCTCTCTTCGAAGATAGAAAGTAATTGTTGAAACATGGGAAAATGAGGAAATGAAGATGAGGAAGGAAAATCAATTTGCATGAACAGTGGAGAGAATTAGAACTGAGAATCAGTGACAGCCCTTATTTAACAGCAGACAACGCTTCGTCTGACCTGGCCCCTCTCTGCCTGACAGCAGGGTCCACTTCCCAGGGGCAGCCCCCCATCACCTCGTGATGCTTCCCTGTGTCTGTAATGCCAAGCTGCTTATAGCTTCCCAGACTGGAGGCCATTTCCCAACTTTTAGCATCTACTCATGTCCTCTTTCTTGTGAACAATTTTAACCCCATCTTCTCCTCGATCTAGAAGAAGACCGCCAATCCTTCGGTCTCACTTTAACTGTCACCTCTTTGTAACCCACCTTGAGTCTGTTTGGGCTGATGACCCTCGGATGCATTTCATAGCCTCAGCCTTGATTTCTGACGAGCCCCTCTTGTCTCAGATTGAAATTCACTCTGTGCTGTGAGGAGGGTTTGAATTGTTGTCTCCTCAGTATTAG